ATCATCCCCCCTGGGGAGGAGGGTGATTCTCACTTTCTCTTTGTCTCCCTCTGTCTCTCCACTGAGCACAAATGCCCTATGACAAAATTCTCTAAAAAAAAAAAAAAACGAACACCATACCATGAGTAAAAATAAAGCTACATCTGTTAGGAACATAATTTGTGCCAGGTGCTATTACATTTAAGCCCCAGAGGTAGTGTAATCATTGGCCTCATTGTACAGACTAGAAATCTGAGGTGTCAAGGGCTTAGATAACTTGTCCAAGATTACAACTAGTAAATGATGAAACAAAGATTCAGCCCAGATCCAGATCCATCTCCCGAGTTTAAACTATTAATGACTAGGACATACAATCTCTCAGAACATTGTCTCTTTTGCTATAATTTATCTCCTCTCAGAAAAAAAAAAAAAGGAAAAAAGAAAAAAGAAGGTCATAAAACGTACTTTATTTGTCTTGAAATTTTTGCCCAAAGCAAGTTCTGTTTGTAGTTATTGAAAACTACGCTATCTCAGCAAGAGACATGAAGCTACGAGATTAAAGACAAGGCCCCAAAATTAAATATTTAAATAAATTTCCCTTCTTGGCAAGAGTTAGCTGCTCTCTGTTGAGATAACGGAAATATGCCAAAGACAACTTGTAAGCAGGTCCCTGGGGGATTTCCCCTGATACTAGGAAATAACCATGAGTTTGTTTTTATAGCTATTTACAGTTCACAAGCACTTTCACATGAATTAGCTCACTTTGCTTCCCAGTGAAATGACGGGGTAGACAGAATTATCCCTTTAGTCTTATTATTACCAATGGGAAAATTGAGCATCAAAAAAACTTAAACAACCTCCTCTGTCCCAGGCCATACCAAAAGTTATGATGCCACAATAACCCTAGATCTTTGTTATGTTTTGTTTTCAGAGAGAGATTTTTGCTATAGGGTGCATGAGCTCAATGGACAGACAGAGACAGAGGGACAGAAAGCGAGAAATTGCCCCCCAGAGGGAACGGCTATACCACAATCCCTTCTTCTCCATTCTCCTCCCTAGAACTTGGGCATACACTCACAGACACCCAGAGTGAGTTTCAAGTCACCAGAATGTACCCAATCACAATTGACTACGTGGGAGTCCATCAACATGACCACTATGCCATCTGCTGGTCTCAACCCTAGGTCTTTAGACTCCAGCTTCAAGCCAAAAGAATGATTTTAGTTTATGTTCAGAGAGCTACAGGGGCCAAGCCAGTTTAGAAACGGTACTTCAAGAGTCCCTAAGCCTCACTTTTACATTATGCAGAGACAGAAAGATAGAGACAGAAAATTCACAAAAATATACAAATATACCTGGAAGATACTGCCATTGTGGTAAACTTACCTCCAGATATAAAGGTAGGCCCTTGCAAGTAGATCTTGCATGACAATAATTTCCAGCCCTGGGAATACAAAGCCCTACAGAATCTCATATTATCTCAAAGTTACCCAATTTCTCGCTCCATAAAATATTATTTACACAAAGTTATGCAATTGTTTGATTAAAAAAAGACTGGGTAGAAGAAAGTGGAGAAATAGGTAATGAAATAATTTTGTCTGTATAATACTTTATAGTTTATAAAGCCCTTTTTTTTTTTGAGAGGTTTTTTTTTTTTTTTTTTCACTATAGGGCACATGCGCTCACCAGACAGACAGAGAGAGACATAGAGACAGAAAGCGAGAAATCACCCCCCAGGGGGGATGGTCACGCCGCAATCCCTTCTCCTCCATTCTCCTCCCGGGATCTTGGGCACGCACGCACACGCGCCTGGCGTGAGTTTTAAGCCACTGGGTCCGGGATGCAAACCGCGGTCGACTATGTGGGAGTCCAGTGACATAGCCATTACGCTAACTGCTGGTTCCCTATAAAGCCCTTTTGTTAGTTAATTTGATTTTTAAATTTCGTGAAATAGAGCTAGTATTATTATAATTACGTTTTTCCGTTAAGAACTCTAAGATTCAGAATGACGGAATAACTTGTCTAAGAATGGCAAAAGAAATTCATCTTGAGAGTGCCTCAAGGTTTTTGAGAGAGCATCTTTGGGCTTAGTTTCCTCATGTATAATATGAGAAAGTTGGACTAGATTTATTACTCAACAATTACACAAGGCAACACTACGGCATGTATCATAAGTTTCCTTATGTGTCAAATGAAAAGTAGACATGAATTCTCTCCAGCTCCAGCATTCTATGGAGATAGACTCTCCAGGACTCTAGAATGTATGCAGAGTTGCAGAGAAAGCTGAAACATAGTCCAGGCTCTGTGTCTCCCACACCTGTCTTGTGAGGGGAAGTGGGATTGGGAATGGGAGGTTGACTCTATCATCTCAACATGTCCTCTATTTTCATCATGTGCCCACCTCTCCAGAAGGTTAAAATCATCACTACCCCAAACCCTCACTATATAATCCAGGATATGCTTTTCACATCTAATTACCCCCATCCATAGTGACCTCTCATCCTATCCACTTCTTTAAACACATCTAATAAGAGGACTCTCACCATGAACTACACTTAAAGGCAGGTCAGAGTTATGCTAGAAAGCTTCAAGTAGCAGATTTGAGGAGCTGCAGACTTCCTAGAACTCTTAAAATAATTCTTAGTAGTCTAGTCTTTAGTTATAGCATCACTTCCACTAGAAGTTTATAGCACATGAAGTCTCAAAAAATTGCCTTTCATTTTCCTTGGAAAAATATAAACTTGACATACTTTTAAGTGAATGTAGACAGTCTCTGTAACTAAGGAAAGGCTTGACTTTCACTGAAGATTTTCCCCTAATTCCTCCATCACTGGTTCTCTCTTGTAGCAAAATCTTAGGTGGGAGAAAGTACAGTCAATCCCAGTTCCTAGCAAGTGTCCTGACCATAGACACCCATAGATGCCCTCTCACCTCAGTTGCCAAAATGACCTACCAAACTCAGCCTATTTCCCTACCCACACCCATCTTCAGCTGAACTCAGGCACAAAAGCTGGATATGGGGAATTAAAGCTGGATTTTATTATAATTACTATACCTTCCACTTACATAATTTCTTTCCTCTTTATTGCCTTTTTATATATATTTTCTCTTTTGGTCCTCTCAAGAGGAAAAGGCAAGAACTGTACAAGTCCATGCAAAAGAGCTCCCTCATCCATGCTATCCAGACACCTACTCAACAACTTCAAAGCCTATACGTAGAGTCACCCACAGTCAGCATGCCTAAACTATGTTCATAGATTTACACTGCAATAGAAATAAATACATCAGAGGTAGAAATAAATATGCTTATTCATGATTGGAAACCCAGAAACTGAGTTATTTTCCCAACTTTAGCATTTGATTATATGACCTTGTACTTGTGATACTCTCTACCTCAAACCAGCTGTTAATTTTAACATCTGTTCTAAACCTATGCTGTTCAATGCAGTAGCTACATTCATAAGGGGCTATGCGATTAAGCACCTGAAATATGAATAAAAGGATCAAAGGTCATAATTTATTTTACTATACTGATTTACATTTATGCTTAAATAATCAACCATATATGATTATGGTTACTGCATTGGACAGCACATAAAAATATAGGGGGTGCTGGTTTAGAATGATCTCTACTATCTCTGCTAGTGGGCATGTAGAGCTTGATAACCAAGAATTGCTTTGTACCTGCAGAGTAGGCCCTGAGACAAGAAGTGGGAAAGTAGTGAGAGCCAGACTGATTTTTAATTTTCATTGTATTCAGGTTTCTGTAAATTGGAACTAAAAAGTGAATCAAGGTTATCCCAGTCTCTGTAAATGAGTGTATACATGCATATATAACTGGGCTATGGGTATAGTAACACTGTTTATTTCCCTTCCAAAGTATTATTAGTATCAAAAACACAGTTTCAGTCCTGGGAGGGAAACAAATATGACTTCTCTTGAGGTTGAATATATTCATATGTTCAGAGTACCTCTTTCTCTGTGACTTCAGTTTCTCATCTGTAATGTGAGAGGGTTGGGCCATGTTTATTTATTCAACAAACAAGGCAATGAGCTAACAGCTGGAGACAAAACAATAAATGACATATCATACCCTCAAAAGTTTAATTTAAGGGACCAGCAGTTAGCGTAATGGCTATGTCGCTGGACTCCCACGTAGTCGACTGTGGTTTGAGCCCTGGACCCAGTGGTTTAAACTCACGCCGGGCACATGTGCGTGTGTGCCCAAGATCCAGAGAGGAGAATGGAGGAGAAGGGATTGCGGCGTGGCCATCCCCTCTGGGGGGGTGATTTCTCACTTTCTATTTCTCTGTCTCTCTCTGTCTGGCGAGCGCACGTGCCCTATAGCAAAAACCTCTCTAAAAAAAGAAAAAATAAAGTTGAATTTAATATAAAGTGCAATGATTTGAAATGATTTTTCAAAGTCCTTTTCAGCTCTGAGTTCATATAATGAATCCTGTGACTCACCATTAATGTGTGAATGCTATATGACTGCAAATTCCTTATCCTTCTACCCAAGTGTTGCTTTATTAACAGATTCTCCATTCAAATACATGTTATCCCTCCTCTCCCTTAACATTCCCTCTTTATTAGTCTTCTGCACTGCAGTAAGAAAGTAAGAACCAAAAGAGTCTAGGAATATGGGGGGGGGGAGGGGGCTCACTTTTAATCCAACAGAGGCCATTTATTTTGGGGATTTTAGGAAGTCAAGCCCAAACTAAGGCACTCTTTTTTAAGGACATAAGGCACTACATAGGAAAAGGTTTTGTATTATAGAATGCTGATATAGCCACCAGTGTCATAGAGAGAGAAAGAAATGAAGAGAGGTGAAATTTACCTTGCTTACATCATGTTTCACATAACACCAGTTATATTAACATATTCTGGTAAGATTATCTTTCCCCGCCTACGAATAGTCTTACTGCCCACAATCATAAAAATCAGAGAGAACTAGGCTGGACAAAGTACACTCCTCCCTGTCTCCCATGTCAGAGCAGCTGATTTCCTGAGGATTCTATTGCTGGAGCTAGAATAAAAGCTCATTTATACACACGACCTGCAAGTCTTCAGTTTCTAGTCTTCCTATTGCCTCGTCTTTTCCCTCCCCCACTTCAGACGAAAAAAAGCCAAACTCTGGTGTGTTTTAAACAGTTTGAGGACTAATCTGAAAGAGGAAGAAGAATCTGTATATATTGGCTAGCAAATGTGCCCTGCTCTCTCCCCTCTTGTAAACAGCAATTCATCTTTTCAAGGAAACTTGCTTAAAAAGCAGGTACTCTGTGAATGGAGTGCTCTTTTAGGACCCTCCAGGGTATCCAGATTCATCTGCAGCTTGCTAACAAAGAGTTAGCACTGATAGGTCAGATTTTCTGAAGACAAAGCTTGCTTCTGAGAGCGAAAGCAAAAGGACCCTAAACTGTGATCCTTCAAGTTAGCAGGTAAGGAGATTTAGTGTTTGAATATTATGACTGGAACAATATGTACTAAAATTCTGCTAATGGAATATTTTAGAAAATTTCTGAGAGTTTGGGAATAATTAATCTGCCTTGCCTGCTTTAAATTATGCTGCTAATATGAATCCTTTCTGCTTTATTTCTTGACTAGAAATTTCAAAATCTAATCAGTCTGTCAACAAGCATTGCTCAGTGCTTCTGCTAGGAGTTCAATATGGCAAAACAGAGGGGACACACCCCAAACCTCTAGCACCTTACAATTAAGCCAAAAATGTAAGTCATATTTATGGCATTTCTAATGTGTGGAAGTTTCAATATGAAGAGAAAATATATGGTGACTACTAAGGGCAGACCAAAAGGTGAGGGTGAGCTGGCATTTTCACAAGGTAGTTTTGCATTCATTATTTCACTTGAACCTCTTAGCATCTTGTACTGTAGGACAGACTAAATGTTACTATAGCAGCTTCACAAATGAGGAAACAGAGAGGTTAAGAAATTTTCTTTAAAAACACTGCACACTAGAAATTGGCAGGTTCTGACTAGAAACTGCAGAAAGAAAATTCTCTCAACTATACATGAATATAAGGAAGCTGCATGATCTATTCTACAATTTTGACATATTTGACATAGGCTGGACTTATGCAAAGTTAACAGTTCATGCATTTTAATCAGAATCTTTGGCCAGGAGCATTTATTTACTTAGCAGCAAGAAAACTGTTTTCAAGAGTAAACAAAGGAGTTGGTAGCCTTCACCTCTTGAATTAAGCAGTTCTCTTTTCCCGTGTTCTGATTCCTACAGACAGATCACACCACCATACATCTAGCAGGAGATTATTTAACAAGAAAATGTAACTAAACCTGGATTTGCTTGTATATGATTGCAAGTATAAAAACATTTATATTTTTATAATAGAAAATACAATAAACTGCATTGTATTTTAATTGTATTTGTGAAATTTGTTTCTACACAATTTTAAGTTTATGGTATCTATTCCAACCAGTCTTAATCATTCAAAAATATTTTCTGTTGCTGTTTTACTATTAACGATCCAATTAGAACTAAAGCCACCCATGTTTAGATAGTAAATAACCTCAAGTATTATATTTACATTAATTCCCCATAACATTCATCTATAACAAAAACTGCTCCTTGATTTCTATAAATATTGACTACATTAACCAATCAGTTTCTGAAAACAAATGAATCCTTTCTGCTTTATTTCTTGACTAGAAATTTCAAAATCTAATCAGTCTGTCAACAAGCATTGCTCAGTGCTTCTGCTAGGAGTTCAATATGGCAAAACAGAGGGGACACACCCCAAACCTCTAGCACCTTACAATTAAGCCAAAAATGTAAGTCATATTTATGGCATTTCTAATGTGTGGAAGTTTCAATATGAAGAGAAAATATATGGTGACTACTAAGGGCAGACCAAAAGGTGAGGGTGAGCTGGCATTTTCACAAGGTAGTTTTGCATTCATTATTTCACTTGAACCTCTTAGCATCTTGTACTGTAGGACAGACTAAATGTTACTATAGCAGCTTCACAAATGAGGAAACAGAGAGGTTAAGAAATTTTCTTTAAAAACACTGCACACTAGAAATTGGCAGGTTCTGACTAGAAACTGCAGAAAGAAAATTCTCTCAACTATACATGAATATAAGGAAGCTGCATGATCTATTCTACAATTTTGACATATTTGACATAGGCTGGACTTATGCAAAGTTAACAGTTCATGCATTTTAATCAGAATCTTTGGCCAGGAGCATTTATTTACTTAGCAGCAAGAAAACTGTTTTCAAGAGTAAACAAAGGAGTTGGTAGCCTTCACCTCTTGAATTAAGCAGTTCTCTTTTCCCGTGTTCTGATTCCTACAGACAGATCACACCACCATACATCTAGCAGGAGATTATTTAACAAGAAAATGTAACTAAACCTGGATGAGCTTGTATATGATTGCAAGTATAAAAACATTTATATTTTTATAATAGAAAATACAATAAACTGCATTGTATTTTAATTGTATTTGTGAAATTTGTTTCTACACAATTTTAAGTTTATGGTATCTATTCCAACCAGTCTTAATCATTCAAAAATATTTTCTGTTGCTGTTTTACTATTAACGATCCAATTAGAACTAAAGCCACCCATGTTTAGATAGTAAATAACATTAAGTATTATATTTACATTAATTCCCCATAACATTCATCTATAACAAAAACTGCTCCTTGATTTCTATAAATATTGACTACATTAACCAATCAGTTTCTGAAAACAAAATGTCAGCCTGGGAGCCAGTGAGCCCAAACAGAATAGTAGGTTAAGGAAAGTTCACACATTGAGTCTAAGCTGAATCTAGCATGTCAGTGCCTTTCTAACTCAGAGTGATCAGTTCTCATTTTCCACTACTTTGTCTTCCCTACCCTTAATCAAATTTTTGTTGCATTTAGGAATTATTTGTCTGGGATAAAAGCAAGATTCTTCTATAGTACAGAAAATTAAATATTGCCCATGCAGTATCATTGGTTGATAATAATGGATATTAAAAGAAAGGCACTGATTCTTAAGGTACATACACAACCTTTTGGAGTCAATACCATGAAGAGTAACTATCATATTCTCCCAAAAAACATAACTCTGTTTACACCTCCACTTTAATCTGTCTAGTTATTTCTCATATATAACTCTGTATAGACCTCCACTTTAATCTGTCTAGTTATTTCTCATGTTCCTATTGAAATATCTCAAAATTTTTGTAAACCAGTTAAACAAGTGTTGATCTAGTTCAATATGGTATATGGCAAAAAATAAGTTAAGGTATATGGCAAAAAATAAGTTAATGCTTGGGGAACTTAGAGTGTTGATGGGGATATAAGACCTATAGAATAGGGCTAGTCTGTGACCTGGTGGTTAAGTGAGCTGAAACTCACATGGTGACTGTGAGTTTAGGTCTCAGACCCAAAATGAGATAGACCTAAAAGAATATCTACTATTTGAGATGCTAAGCAAATTTGCCATGTACATAGTATGTGGTCAATACATGTTGTTAAAATTCAATTCTGGCCACAGAAATGTGTCAGGAATATATTGTGTCAGGAGTGAGCTTGGCATCTTCAGGGTGCACCAGGGAGCCTGATCTGCCTAGGATAAAAGGACTGAGTCACAGAGTAATAGAAAATAGATTTAAATCAAAATTTAAGGCTAGGTTGTTAGATATTGAATTCCAGGAATTTTCTAATGACAAAATTAGCAAACTTTGAATAAAGGAGGACATGAAAGAAGAACATTTTGAGTTCATGAATCTGGCAGAACGTTCATTTTATTACATTTGGGGAAACCTGGAGATAGAGAGATCACTCAAAGGATAGAAGTTAATTAGGCTCTAGGCTAGGTTGATGACAATGGAAATGAAATGAAAAGGAACACAAGAGGCATTCAAAAAAATAGATGGAAGTGGTGAATAATAAGATAAAGACAATGTAGGAGAGGAATAAGTCAGAGATGTCTCTGAAATTGTGAACTTGGTAAATCTGTGTTAGTACTATTTATAGCAATAGATAACTTGGAGATAGAAGTGGATTGTTGAGTATGATGAGTTCTGGTTTTGACCTATTGAGTTTGAGGCGATGACTAGAATTTCAAGGAAAAATGCTTGATAGAACGGTTGGAAAATAATGGCCATGAATGGGAGTTACAGCTAATAAATGGAGGCCAAGGATAAATCTGGAAAATGTGATAAACCAAAAACATAAAATATCTTGGCTTAGAGAAAACAAATCAAAGAGAAGACCATGGACCAAAACTTAGACAGTGCCTATACTTTTGGAGAAGAGGAAGATGAGGGTCCAGAGAAATGACAGCCATAGAAATATAATCTCAAGAAGACAGTATTGTAAATTAGTACAACCATTCTGGAAAACAGTATGGAGGCTCCTCACAAAACTAAAAATATGAGGGTACTTTAAAAAGATGATGGAAGTGGTCAGCAGGTGGCATAGTAGTTAAGGTGCTATATTCTCACATGTCTTGGACCCAGTATCTTGTAACTCACTGGGCACATGTTTGTGTTTCCCTGGGGGTGATTTCTCGCTTTTTGTCTTTTTGTCTCTTTCTGTCTCTCTGGAAAGCACATGCACCCCATAGAAAAAAATCTCTCAAAAAAAAAGTTGATAGAAAAATGGAGTTAAAGTTTAAGTTTATTTGGTGCCAAATGAATAAAATCCATATTTTTGTCATAATATATATTTCCGTGAATTTTTTGAAGACTACTCATAGAATTACCTTCAGTATACACCCAAAGGAATTAAAATCAGCATGCTAAAGATCTATCTACACTCTCATGTTTATTGCAACATTATTAACAATAGCCAAGATTTTAAGTGTCCATCAACAGATAACTTTTTTTAGATGTGGCGTACATATGCAACAGAATACTATTCAGTCTAAAAAAAACAAAAAACAAAAAACAAAAACAGGAAATTATTCTTTCATTTGTGATAACATGGATATAAACCTGGATAACACTATGTTAGGTGAAATAAGACAGAGAGACAAATGTTATATGAACTCATACATATAATCAAAATCAGTTGAACCTATAGAAGTAGAGGGTAGAATGGGAGTTACCAGAGGCTAAGAAGTAGGAGTGAATGGGAGAAAATGAAGTTGGTCAAGGAATACAAAGTTTCAGTTAGACCGGAGGAATAACTTCTGACATTCCATCGTACAGCTCAGTGACTATAGATAATGATACTGGACTGTATAAATGATATTGAACTGCATATTTCAATACAGCTAAAAGAAGGAATTTTAAATGTTCTCACCACAAACAAGTGATAAATATTTGAGATGATGGATATGCTTATAGTCCTGATTTATCATTCTATAATGTATACATTTACTGAAAAATCACATTGTACCCCCTCAATATATACAATTATTATTTGTCAACTAAAAATGTTTTAAAACTTTACAAAATAATAT